TATATCAGTGGTATTGAGAAGTCAATCACGGTTCATTCGATTTAAACAGTGTTTCTTGTTCTTTTACAGTATGAGAAATAGGGATCCGTTGGTAACTGTGCTGAAGTTTGAGACACCTGAGAGAAAGCGAGCGGTTATATATGTAAGTACTACCATGTGTACAAAATATAACTGATGTTATTCTTTTCTGTTGGAACAGTGTTCGATTGCTGTACGTTGTCCGAGTCAGGGTCCTTTTAGTTGAGTGGTCCACTTGGGAGCTTGTTTTCAATGCTTACTGTTTATTGGATACCCATTGGTAATGCAATTAATAAACAACACACAGGGGTTTGGTTCGTTCTTCGGATGACTGTGACTGTTAACGTGTAAGCTCGGGATAGGGATTGAACTCCAGATCAACTCTTTGTGGGCGTTTTGTGTGTGTTTGAATTTGTGGTGTAATATACGGCACACATCTTATTTTGAGGTTGATGTTCACATCAAATCTTCGACATTAGTTGTCTACATACTGGGCACAGCCGCGATTAAGATAACGCCTTAGGCGATGCATACAGTTGCCTACCTACATGATAAAGTATCTCTCGGAGTACAAGGATGGTACCTTATTTTATCAACCTCAAACAGAAGCCTTTTGTTGTACAGTATTATTCCCCCTTAACGCTTAATACTGTCTATTCGTTTTTAACTTTATATTATAGTCTTATGGATTGTAACGTGGAGGCTACTATTGCATCTTCCAGTCGCATGTAGCGTACCACTCGCTTACACGCTACGTAGGCTGATTAAAATCTTAACACAGTAATAAATACGCGAAGATGTTGCCTTCCGGGCACACCGGCATTGTATGCACCGTCGGGGTGGGTTTTAACCGCGAGGCGAGTCAGCGAGTGTCCGGATAGTATAGAGCAGGTGGAGAAACAACAACCACGCCGGATCAGTTGTGCCTTCGCTGGATGAAGCGAGGATGCAGAGTCCCTGTAGCAGCTTCAGTGGGCAGCTAGAGAGAGACAAGAAGCTAGCATAGGGGTGGACGCAGACGTCCCCGTTTTTCCGGGGCAGTCCCGTTTGTATTGGCCTGGTCCCGGTTTAAACGTGTCCGCCGGAAATTTCCCCGTGTTTACTTAATATACGTTAAAACATGCAGGTGGAAATAAACGTTTCATGTCGGAGAGACACGTGGGAACAGCTCGACTGTGGATCCAAGCCAGCCTCCCTTCGGAAACACAGTCGAGAGCAGGCCCACGTTGTATGCGTGCGGCGGAATCTCCGATGCTTTACTCGTAGAGCCTGTAAAACTGCCGTTCAAGATAAAAGGTTTATCGGTCAATAACATAATATCCTAAAAACACAGCCAAAGCAGATTTAATATGATACTGGAGCTGGTAAAGTTAAGAAATATGGCCCTATAGTAATGGTGGTCAATAATAAATTTAAGCAAAACTAGTATAACTACCACTTATAACTAGTGAATGGTGAAATGGCGGTTTTCACAGATATCAGTGCTATGAAGCTATCTAACATTTCCAATTGTGGCTAATTGTCAATTGAGTGTTGGGACACTCTCCAACATCTAGACTAACATTCTTTGCCTGAGCAAATTTAAAATGTATGTGTGTTTAAAATCAGAGATGCTAGGATCTTTGATCTATTTTTGATTTTTTAATGGAAAACTGGTGCCAGTCAAAGAGTCATCGAAGTCAATGCAAGACTTATTTCCCTCAGGGTGATAGCAGGACCCATCTAATTCTGGATTTAGAGTTTCAGATAAAATACTTTTGAGGTTCATGTATGGGCGTCGTCCTCTTTTTGGTAAGTAGCGAAGGATATAAACTGTCAATTACAAGAAAGAGCTTAGTGCACTCCAGTAGGGAACACCCCATCTAGTCACTCAGGATGAGAATCTGGACATCTGATGTACATTTGGATGAAGAGAACTTGAAGTCTGCATATATGACGGTATCGTCCTGTTGTGATCCAAACGCAGTTAAAATGTTTAAATGACATTGACGCAGAAGTTGCGCCTTTTTTCTTGTAGACAGTGAGAAATGTTGGGATATGTAGATTGAGATTTTTGACCCGCGCAAACGTCAAACATGTCGC